TAAATAATTCATTTAAAAACTTCAGTATATATCATTTCCTAATACTGATGCCCTAACATTTTCTCCTCAAAATGTTGGTGTGTGTATCTATCTATCTATCTATCTATCTATCTATCTATCTATCTATCTATCTATCTATCTATCTCCTATTTTATCCTTAGAGCATTTATCCTGAAAAAAGTAATTTCCCACTGAACATCACGTTCAAATAAGATTTAAGCACAGGTTTCCTTTATCCAGACCTAGTTCCCTACACCATTTTGGCTCTCGTACGCTGTCCTTTGGGACTTCAATCCTAAATATGCTTACTAGTGACTAACATATATGTTTTAAATTGTGTTACCAATATGAAGTGAAATGATGTTCAATATAAAAATTATTTAAAACCTTTATGTACATGAAGATTTCTATCCTAACTGCCTAATGTCCCCTGCTTTTTTTGCATTTAAAATGAGTACAAAACATCATGCTTGATTTATGCTTATACATAGTTTATAACCCAACTGTAATTTGAACTCCCAGATGTACCAGCAAACCATGTTTGGAAAGGCTTGTTTGCTGTAACATTGTCATAGATGCCTAGCACTTGAGTATCTATGGTCAGTACCTTTCTGAGGAAGAGCAGTAGCCTTTACATGTGGAACAGTAGGCCATAACTGTAGCTTGTCAATCAGATATCATCATATTAGCAGAAAGAGCACATGAAGTAATACTTCATTTCTTATTTTTGCAATATAAAAGATGCCAGGCCACAACAGCTTTTTTAGAGTAAGCTACTTAAAGGACACTGATTTAAACTGTAGCAACAGTAACTCTGCCAAAATAACTCATGAACAGGTAAACTGATCAGGAAGATAGACTGAAGTCCACAATAGTTACTGCGCTTGTTCTCCTATATTCTGATTACTGAAGATAAAAGGAAACATTTATGTGAAATGTGAAGATGCACACAAATAATTACAAATATTACACCACAGAAATATATGAGGATATTTTGAATGGCAAAGTGATACACTCTGGATCACGTGGATTAGTTTTTCACTACTGGTTTCTTCTTTCCTTGAAGAAAGCCTTGTTTTTGTAAGGCTTAAATTAAAAACTTGAGTAAGCAATAAAAGGTTTGCAAAAACATTTGTGCCTCTAATTTTTGATATACAGTGCTATTTTGATTGATATAGTGCTAGAATGATTAATATCATATTCTGGCATCTAATTTTTTCACATATGTTAATTTTCTAGATTATAGCTGTAGTCAAGCATCAAATGTGCAGATACAGCTAGTTCTTAAATTTAAGGGATTAATATATAGGACATTTTGTCCATCGTTATTTACTATATTACTTCTATACTATGATGACATTTAACATGACTTGTTTTTGTAAGGCTTGAAATTCCATTGATATAGATTAACATTTAAAATAACTTCCTATTAGTTTTAGAGAATCAAAAATATGAAGCAAACAAGCAAAAGAAATTAAATCACAAATACGAACTAAGCTTTTATCTTCTGCTGTTGTGTTTTTAAATAGTGCTGACTCTTCATTTGAAAGCCAGTGTCACTAAGATCAGGTGGTCTTATTTGCAGTTAAATATGTAGAAAAAGTATTTCCTAAGGCTGTAAGATTTGTCAGTTTAGTTATACATATATTTTAAATGTTTAGGTAATCAGTTTGGAGCTACAGCTTTTTATACTAGTAAGATGGGGATTAAGGTTGTACTTTCTATTTTATGAAATTAAGTTAGCTCAGGTATATTACTCTGATAGGAAAATAAAAATGAAAAAATGGGATTTATCTGTAATATTCAGTATTGAACATTTAGCAATATATAAACAAGATTAATGTAATCAATACATTGATTAACTGGTTAATAGCAAGTTTTCTATGAACTGCATAGCAAAATATTTTGGAGATGGACTTTGAAATCATTTTTCAATTACACAAAAGAGAGTTCAAACTCCAGATACAACAAAATTAGAATTAAACCCTTTATTTTCTTCCCTTCCTAGATTTCCATGTACATCATTTGTAGTTTTGCTTGCAGTACACAATCAAATTCCAAGTATATATTACATTTTTTACTAAGCTATACTCTTTAGCCAAACTGAGTTCTGACATAAAAATATAATTCAGATGCAAAGCCCAACCACTTGCTGCTCTGAACTCTCTATTTCTTCTTGTTGCTTGGGTTTCTTTAGTGATGGGAAAAAATTAAAATGCAAGGGTTATGAAAGAAAAGACAGCTTGTAATACCAAGACTAGAGTGTTTTATCAGTTAAGTATTTTATATTCTAAGAGGACCATTTAAAATGACATCCTGGCAGTAGGATTTTTCTTGAATATTCTTCCTAAATATAAAAATGAATTTAATTGCTGTTTTAATGTGGAAGAAACTGATATGTTTGTGAAATCTGAAGTGGATTTTCTCACACTTCTCTCTGTATAGAACAAAATGATTTACATCTATCGTCTTGTTCTGTGGAACTGATTTGCTCCTGTCA